TTAATGCCTTTTGCATTTTAACCTAGCTGCATGTGAATATGCACATGTACGGCATGTCGTATCTGTACGAGACGAATGTATTGCAGTTTGCTTGCCAAAAGATCATGACTATTGGTTGTCTTTGAATTGTTGCTGTTGTTGTTATTGTTGCCACCATTGTTTTTGTTAGTAGTTTTATTGTTGATTATTTTCACTTAATAACGCTCTCACATTTGACCCCCCACTCTCTTTAGGCGCTTTGTCATCTGACTGCAACTGAAAAGTTATGTCCAACCTTTTATTAGAAATTAAATGGAATACCATATTTGAGAGAAACATTCTATATTTTAAATATTGTTGGCAACCGGAAAAATGAATTGGGTGTCAGTTAATTAATGTCAAATGGACCAAAAATAAAGCACAGACTCTCTCAAGGTTTCTAGTTATTGAAAATATTACCCTAGAAAATTAAGCATACTTATTTACCCGAATTGAAGTATATAATTCTCATTATACATTTGCTCTGTTCCAGAACTGCAAGAATGTAAAAGATTTTACTACGATAACCGATTTTTCCTTTATGTATCGAAAAAAATGCAAGACCTGTAGATTCTTGCAGGTTCTGGAACAGAGTTATTATTGGCACAATATCGAGCAATAATCGGCTATATAATCAAATATTTTAAATGTCCCATATTTCGATAAAAAATTTCAAAAAATTCTATTTTTTTTTACCTTGGTGCAAAGTGCCTATTAATGCACTACCCAATCTTATGAAATTAACGATGCATTTGTTGTTGTGTTCTTTCAATTTCATTGAAGACCAAAAGTAAAAATAATTCTGTGAAAAATGCAAACAATTAATGTTGATCAGCAGCCGCTGCAACAAAAACAAGTTTAAGTGATATTGGCTTTTACTCTTCCGTATAGTATTTTATTAAATAATTGCGAAGCCCAGTAGAAAATTTTAAAACATTTAACATTTAAAAATTTAAAATTTTAAAATTTTAAAACAAGATTTCGCACGTGGTAGAAGAATACAGGTAGATGCATCAACGCTTGGGAATAAGTAGATTTTTATATGTTTTCTTATACGATGAAAATCGGACGTTGTTATGTTATGCATTTTGCAACAAATCCATTGCGTATACGTCAAATGAAATCGACTCTGAAATCCGATAGATTTCATTTGACGTATACACAATGGAATTGACAGTTGAAATCCATTCGATTTAGTAAGAATAAACTTTCTTTAATTTAGTAAGTGTAAACGTACTTCAAGTTCCAACTCTGTAAATTCCATGGCAGAAGAATACAGGTAGACACATCAACGCTGGGAACATTGATATGTCAAAAAAGAAATTAAATGTATTTTGAAATACAAGTAGATTTTTATATGTTTTCATACACGACATCATTTGGATGTTATTATAATTCGCGTTTTTCAACAATTTTTACAAATTTAAATAATTTTTCATTCAACATTTTCAATTCCAAAATTGGTTTGACAGTTCATTGTCCCAGCAGCTGTGTCGATGCGACTACGTATATTCTTCTACCATGGTAAATTCGTTATGTGCGCCCGGAGTTGTATCTACCATAAACAAAATTTTCCAACTGGGTATATCATTTGTGTGTTTGCAGCCATTTAATTCCAGCATATTTTTGTTGTTATTGTTGCTGCTGCTGCATTAGAATGCATATCAATAACGGTTCCGTAGACAGGAAATAAATGGATGCAATTGCTTTTGAATGCCATCGGACAAAAACACGTCAAGGATGATCAAGTGATTCTATTTTTTTTTTTTTTTTTGCAAACAAATAAACATTGAAATGTTTGTAGGAAAACTTGACTCGGAAGTACAAAAACAACGGCGTTTCAACAAAAGCAAAGCTATTAATAAGTTTTTATACACATGTTCACACACAAGTATTCATATTTGTATTGTTAAAAATAATAAGTCAATTCCGTGAAAAGTGATAGAGTGGAGAATTTTATTAAAATTAAATTATTATGTCCATATTCTTGAGTAGAAAGTTCGCCATGAAGAAAACTGACGATCAACTTACTTTTTTCCACAAAACTCTCATCCCAGAAGCCTTTGTGACGGATAAGACATCAAGACGGGAAAACCGGAAGATTTTGTCGAGGTATTCGGGGCGCTGAAAAGAACTCCCGAAGGTCTTTTATGGACAAATGACCTTCCAAATTTTTAAGGAGAATACTTGCAAGATAGAAGTGTTCAATATGGAGAATACCTTCTAAAATTCTTGTGGACGAAGAGGTCGCACAGATTTCTTTTAGACGGAGAAGACCACCTAAATGTTTTCTTGGCGCAGAAGACCACCAGATGTTTTCTTGGCGCAGAAGACCACACAGAGGACTACTGGATTGAGAAGACGTCTCGAAGATTTTGTAGATGGAGAGGACTTCACAGAAGTCTTCGTCACAAAAAAGAGCCCCCAGAGGACTTTGGGCCTGACCTTAGATCTTTGGGGCCGGGAAGACATTAAAGAGGTATTATGGACAGAAAATAAATTCTCGTTGTCTTCGGGACGAAGAATATGTCTTCTGTGCGGAGAAGATCTTGTGGAGGCCTTTTCATAAGGAGAATTTCTCCTAGAGGTCTTTAATATGGAGCAGACCTTTTAGCAGTCTTCAAAATGGAGAAAACCTCCGAGAAGTTTTCAATGTGGAGAAGACGTCTAGTTTTCCTTTCGGGGAAAGTGCTTTCAACGGTGCTTTCAATTGAGAACACTTTTTATACTTTTATTTATTTATTTACTGATTCCTGCACCGGTAAGATTGAAATCTTAGAATTAAAGCGCAAAATTACAAAAGTACAACATATCTAATTGGGTTGATGTCGGTGAAGACTTCCCAGGGAATTTTGAACTGTGAGTCCTTCTGGATGTTTTCTATGCAGAGGAAAAAGGTAGTTGGGGGTAGACCTTCTAGTTGTCCTTTTTAAGGCGAAGAGCTTATTGAGGTCCTAGGAAGGCCTTTTAGATATCATCTTAACACAGCAGACCTTCTATAGGTCTTATGGGCGGAGACGTCCTCATGCACAGCATTCTTTCTAGAGGTATACAGGGCGAGATGAAAAAACTGCAACCAATTTCAGTCTGCTGTCATTTCTAAGCCACTCGTCCGACTGCTGATAATATTATTCCAGTGACAGTTCATTATGTTGTTTACAAGCGTACATTTTGGTGAGAATTTTCCAGAAAAAAGTTATTCGTGATGGAAGTCAAGCGTGATAGTGTGATTTCCTGATAATTGGCTGAAAAAACCACAAGTGGCTATTGTTAGAGCACTCCAGCATTTAAATGTGAACAAATCTTTTGTGTCTCGTACCATCGCTAGTTACCTTGATACTGGTTGCGTAGCCCGACCGACGACAAGGAAGTGACCTAAAGATGACTCGTGAGCTGAACATATCGCAATATTCCATTAGGCAAATATTGAAAAATAAGCTAGGGGTAAAGCCATTGAAATCCCAAAAAGTGCAAAAACTTACACCGCAACAAGAAAATAGACTCAAAAGAACTAAAGAGTTGCTTCGTTTGGCCGAAAGTGGGGAACTGCCGAATTTGGTTTTCTCCGATGAGAAAACAGTCGTTGTCCAGCAGTTTGTAAACAAAATGATGGTGTTTACTTGCCAAAGGCGTCAGCTGAAATGTACCTTCGGTTGGCCACCAGAACTCATGCGCCGGCTAAGGTGATGGTGTGGACCGCCATAACAGCCGATAGTCGCTCTCTGCTCGTATTAATCGACCGTGGCATCAGAATAAATGCCGAAAATTACCGCGAAAATATTCTGGAGCGTGTATTGAGCACGCGAACATTTTGGCCGCAGACCATGGACATTCCAACAGCACTCAGCACCATCGCACTCAACATGCGCCTCCCAAGAATGGTTGCAAAATGAGGTATTGTGGAAAGCAAGGTTGGCACTAAAAATACCAATGTAAAAATACCAATGTAATACCAGAACAACATTCGGCCAGCGTGTGACGGTTTCATTGGCCGTTTGAAGGCCATAATTCGTGCCAAAAGTGACCAATTCGAACAAATCTAAATTTATTCTAAAAGTTTATGCTATTTCCGACATTTTGGCTTTCATTCAATAAAATTAAAAAAAAAATGTAGAAATTATGGCGTTTGACTTTGTTGCAGTTTTTTATATCACCCTGTATTTTACAGAAAATTCACTTTCTTCTCAAGTCAAGAAGAATTTCTTGAGGTTTTTCTTACTTCTATAGATGTTTTCTAAGGAGGCCATCTAAAGGCCTGCACGGTAGATCATACAAGAAAAATGAGTTAAATAGCTCGAAATATTCATAGTGTTTAATATTTCAGTTTCATGGCAAAACTAGTTAATGTCCTATTCGGGAGCCCTGCAATGTACGTTTCTTCTCGTCCTTGATTCTGAAAATTTTTTGTTTTTATTTTTCAAAACAATAAATACAAAATCAAAATTGGAAAAACTATGGATATTTTACATATGACTCATAGGTCATTTTACATACGACTCTAACAGTATATGTAACTAGTTACAGAATCACACTACTGATCACGTACATATGTATTGAATGGGTCTCCGACAAATTTTTCAATACATTGCAAACGGAATGCCAAATATATCATTCATCCTATGATAAAACATATAAAAATAAGATATAAAAACTAGTCTTAATAATAGGAAGATACAGGGAGGAAAATTTTTAGCACTTGGTAGAAAAACTTAGGAAGTGTAATCTAATGTACGATTAGTTTGGCCATTGTACGGACTGTTGATGATTCTGTATCGGATAAGTAATTCAGGTGCTGCATTCTATCACAATGCTATCTCAAATACAAACACATATTTAAAATTATCAAACTTGATTAGCAAATGAATTTACTTGAACTTTAATCGATTTCAATCCTCAATTCAGATACAACGGAAGTTCATAAAAATATGCATATTAACCTATATGAAATTTATTAAATAATGGAATAAATTACAGACATCAAATTATTTTTAAATTTACGATTAACATATTGTTAAGCCTTTATTTCCGATTATTAAGAGCTGTTTGTTGTGTTTTTCAAGATCACCCAGACGATTTGTGTGTCAATCTCACTGACAAGCATTTGACATGATTAGACATTTGTATTGGTGTTTAGTTGTTCATGTATTAATTTTATAATGTAGAGAATAGATTTGAAGTTAATACTCATGAATATAAAGTATATTTATCTAATGTAAGTTTTATGTTTGCATTTTGCTTTTATAAAGTGACTTAATCTTAAAATTTAGTAATGTTTTTTTTTTTTTTTTGTGAAATCAAAATATAATTAATCTTATTATTAAAACTTAACTTATTGTAAAAAATGTATTATGAGTTTAGTTTTACAATTACTTTGAAACTAAGAATTTGTGTTAAAAGTTTACTATAATAAACATAAATGAGACAGAGGTGTTTGGTCGCTTGGATAGGAAATGATCTGTAGTTTATAAGTATTATTGCAAAGGAAATAAAACTACAGCCAATTTTTGTAAAGCCAGGCCATAACTTAAGTTCTTGCCAGGGATGAGAAAAATACTATATTAACTATTGACTCGTTTTACGACAAATGCCATTATATTGTTCATTTCAATTTTACATCATAATAAATTATCGTAAATAATAGATTTGAATCGCTGGCACCGCACCGCAGTTTAATTTTCTTCTGACCGAGATTTATTCCACCTCATTTCCTTAAAACTATTTTAGATATTGTGATTTTTGCAGTGGCAATACAGCTTGTATATCATTGCACTTTCCGGTTACACAGGAATGCAACAGATATCGATAGCATTGCATATAGAAACTTTTTAGATACTACAATTTGAGATGCTTTTTAGCTTGACTCTTTTCCAATTTACGTTGTTTTATGCTAAGAAATTCTCGACGTACCTCCGATGAGGTCATCTCTAGTATACAATTAAGTTTTTTGAATATTTGTTCAGCCGTAGGCAGTGTGGTTTCAAAATCGTAATGTTTAAAACGTATACTTTGTGTAGACGATGATGATGATGTGGGATGCGATGTTGATGATGTGCTGGCGGTGTTTGTTGAACTTCCTAGGAAGTTGAAGGGCGATGAAAAATGTGGATAATGTCCAGGGCTGGTGGGTGAATGTGCTGTAACACTTAATCCAGCTGATTTGGTATCATTTAAGTTGATGGCATTTATGGCCGATGCTGATTTTAACCATATACGCAGGACTGCTTTCATTGTTCGTTTTTCGACAATTTCACAATGTGCCACTGCATCAATGGGATATGTTACGGCCCGTTGTTTAGTCCAGAATTTACCATGTTTATGCTGATCGATTTCGATACGCTCGCCAGATATGCCCAAAATTACTTCAGTTTTAAAGAATTTCTTATCGATAATATTAAGGGTATAGGTGCGATAAACTGGAGCCTCCAACATATCATCTTGACTTAGAATACGTTCTTCCAAATCATCAACGCGGCCATCAGCCACCACATTATTGTGACTGCCATCAACGTCATCCCTATCATCACCCTCAGCTGTGCTGTTGTTGTGTGAACTAATTGCCATTGCAGCCAAACGGGCCTTGTCGTCTTCTGAAGTCATTGACTTTGTGGGGCCGGCTGTGGAGGGTACATTTTTTCTTTCGGCCAATGTAAGATGTGAAAAGCCAAATTTGGAAAAAGGCTCATCATTATCTAACGGTGGGAATTCTTCCAAATCATCATTATCTTCAGTCATATACAGGCCATAATGTCGCACAGATTTTAGGGGTAAGTCCGGAAATTCAATGGAAGCTTTGTAACACACCAAACCAATGACCTGCAAGAAAACGAAATTCATGTTCAAGTGATTTTACCATAATCTACTAGACAACTCACCTGATATATCTTTGCATGCGACAAAACACATATTTTCAGTGGATAATTTTTCTCCTTCTCGGGCAGCATACTTATAAATATTTTTATGCTCTTCACAGGCACCCCAATCTGAGATGTACCATCGAACTCGGCATATCTTTGAAACTTGTTCTCCACATGTTTTGGACTATTGGCTAATTTCAGTGATAGCTTACTTTTCAATTTGCTGCCACCAGTTAATCCCTCCCCTTTATCCGTATCCAGCGGAGGTTGAGGTTTCACAGGTTTGCGCTGAAAGAAATCATTGCTTTCTGGTTTCACAACATCATCTTCATAATTGACACGTTTCGTTTGGGCAGCATTGCGGCGGGCTCTATCCATTTCTTCCAATTTCTGTGCCGTATTTGAACGGAAACGATGCGCCCCAACTTCCGGATACATTTGTATATCAAATGACTGGGCCGTTAGGTCAACTTCTTCGTCATCACTTTGATCCAATCCGGGATAGCAAATGAAATCTACCTCCTGCAGTGGCGGATCATAGTTACGATGATGTAACGGCTGTGGAGGTTGTTGACCTGCAATCATTGATCGCCTCTGTTGCTGCTGCTGGAAATTACGTGTTCCATTGCCCTGAAATTTTTTGAGGTAGTGTTTGGGCAGATCATCACTAACCATTACAGTCTCACACATTCCCGTATCGTCTGTGGATATAAACGAATTCCGTATGTGACATAGCAACCAATGTGGATTCGAATAAGTTGCCATTTTAGGATTTTATTTAAAAAAATTATTGAAATTTTCGAAATTTTCTGAAAATTTCTTCTGAAAATCTAATCTACTTCTGTACTATTGTATTATTTTCTTAGAGAACAGAAATATAGCGATAAAAGCTAGGAACAAAGCAAACTTGTGTGGACACTGCAATATGGCATCTCTGAAACGAAAAGCGACACAGCCAAATAGGAATAAAAATGTGGAATCAAAACAAAAATACCAACGCTGTGAGATTATATATGTTTACTTAGGTAAACAGCTGTTTACCCGGTAATAGAGTTGCCATGGTAGAAGAATATAGCTAGACGCATCGACACAGCTGCTGGGATAATGAACTGCCAAACACATTTTGCAATTGACATTTTTGAATGAAAAATTAATCAAATTTGTAAAAATTGTTAAAAAACGCATATTACAATAACCTCCACTTGACGTCGTATAAGGTAACATATCAAAATCTACTTATATTTGAAAAACATTTTGAAATGTTTAACATATCAATGTTCCCAATCGTTGATGCATTAGAAGCATGTTAAGATACATTAACATTAGATGTGTTTTGTTTTTTTATGACAAGTCGACAGAATATATTTAAAAAAGAACCATAATTATAATAATAGGCCGGAAAATGTAAAACATTCTTCTTTAAAAAAGTTATGCCCTTAGAACTTTCAGTGTAAAAAAAAGAAGTTTTGGTGTATATTTTTTCTTGTGAAATTCTACTTTTATTAATTTTTTAGTAGAAACGAAATAGGGTATAATAAAAGCCAGAAACAAAATCATATTTATGTTTAAGATTTGGGTAAAAAGGAAAGCATTTGCTTACCAATCATTCACTGTGAATTGATACCAAACCTCCACACAAATAATCTATTTAATATTTCAGCCCTTTTTTCTTTGAGAACTTGAGACTTTGTGAACCCTTAATCATCTGTTTTGTCATGTTGCCTCTTTTACCATTCGTCAATAACCACTACTCAATATTCAAAATGTGAACCAATAGAAACACCTGGACTGAAACTAGTTCCAATATATCCATTACGTGAATAGTTCCTTTGACCAAGTTTTTTATAACGACAAACTCAAAAGAATTGCACTATGACGCTATTGAAAAAACCCACTGGGGTATTGCTTAAACACTGTTGGAGGAAATCGGTGACAACATGGACACCTTTGGCCACCGCTTTTAATTCACCGCCATACAAGAAAATTAATTTTACGCGCAATGAAGCAGTATGTAAAAATGAATCACAATTGTATTGACTTATATCACTCAATGTTTTCGTCATTTACAGGGTCTCTTTTGTATGCCCGAACTGAAAAACCATGAAGGTTTCTATTTACTAAAAGACAATGTGACCAATCACACAGAAGAACTAATACAGGAGGCAATATCGCCGAATCGCAAGAGGAAAATGGTACAAATCTTTGATGAGCTATCTGACTCGTTGTGTAAGGTTGCCGATTTATCGGAATTCATACGAGTCGCTCATCCTCAGAGCAAATATGCCCAGGCGGCAGAAGATGCTTGTATAAGTATAAGCGGCATTGTGGAGCATTTGAATACACACAAGACACTATTTATGGCCTTGAGCAATGTTGCCCATAATGGGGACATTGTACCCACAACGGATGTCGATAAACATGTCTCGAAATTGTTTCTATTTGATTTTGAGCAGTCCGGAATACACTTAAAGGAAGAGGAAAGAGAAAAAGTGGTACGCCTTAATGACCATATACTGCAATTAGGACAAAAGTTCATGCATGGAGCTGTGGTGCCAACATCATTTCCACGTTCACAAGTCCCTGAGTCAATTCGAAACTACTTTCCCTCGGAGGGCGATCAAATTCTAGTATCAGGCCTTTACACAAACTCCAACAATGGCATGGCTCGCGAAGCAGCCTATAAATTGTATTTATACCCATCGGAAAGACAGGAGGAACTACTTACAGATTTATTGAAATGTCGACATGCTTTGGGGAAAATATGCGGTTTTCAAACATATGCACATCGCGCCCTTAACTCCAGTACGGTAGAGAGCCCTGAAATGGTAAAAGAATTTATAGATGAATTGACACGAGAATTAAGACCCCGTGCCGATGCCGATTTTCGAATCATGGAAGAAATGAAGCGCAAAGAGAGTGGCAATAAAAATGCCACACTTGCGGCCTGGGATACACCATATTTCACTTCGCTCATGAAAAGAAATGCTCTGAATGCCAACGCCAATGAATTTTTACCCTATTTCAGCTTGGGTGGTTGTATGCAAGGTCTGGATAATTTAATGCGTTCTTTATATGGTATAAGCCTACAAAATACTGAAATGGAACCTGGAGAGTCGTGGCACAATGATATATACAAACTGTCTGTGGTACATGAAAAAGAGGGTCTCTTGGGATATATCTATTGTGATTTCTTTGAGCGAAACGGAAAACCAAATCAAGACTGTCATTTTACCATTCAAGGGGGTAAACGTTTGTCTGATGGCTCATATCAATTACCTATAGTGGTAGTGATGTTGAATCTTTCTCAACCCCGTTGGACTGGACCGACATTGTTGACACCATCGAGGGTGGATAATTTGTTCCATGAAATGGGTCATGCAATGCATTCAATGTTGGCAAGAACTGAATATCAACATGTTACGGGTACCCGATGCTCTACAGATTTTGCTGAAGTGCCATCCGTCTTAATGGAATACTTTGCAAGCGATCCACGTGTAGTGCGTACATTTGCCAAACATTTCCAAACACACAAACCCATGTCAGAGGATATGTTACAACGGTTGTGTGCCTCCAAAAATCTCTTCTCTGCCAGTGAAACCCAACTGCAAGTATTTTACTCTGCTTTAGATCAAATCTATCATGGGGATCCATCAAAACAGGGAGCAACCACAACAGAGACTTTAAAAAATGTACAAAGTGATTATTACAGTTTGCCATATGTGGAAAATACGGTAAGTTAATTGATGAGGTTTTATAGTTTGCTTTATTTCAATAAACATTTTTATTGTAGGCATGGCAATTGCGTTTTTCCCATTTGGTGGGCTACGGTGCCAAATATTACTCCTATTTAATATCCAAGACCATTGCATCTTGGATATGGCAGACATATTTTGAGGAGAACCCTTTCAACCGCGAATCAGGTGAAAAATATCGCCAGGAAGTACTGGCCCATGGTGGAGGCGTACCATCCCGCCAACTAGTGGCAAACTTTTTAAAGCGTGATCTCACTCCCCAAAACTTGGCTCAAAGTCTTATTACCGAAATTGACATCAACAACGATAAAATTAAGCATATGCTAAAGGTCGATGCTTAGACTCCCATTGTTAGATAAAATCCCTGTTAAAAGTTTTATTATTTTAGTTTAATAGACAATTTTGTTATGTTTTTAGCAGCGTTTTTTAATAGAAATGTAACACGACGAAATACATACACATATTGGCCAACAAAACAATACCAATTTTGTAGTTTAAAGTTTACATTTCATGGAAAGGTATTCTCTGGACTTAACATCTAAATTTAATAGAAAGTTCCTAATGGGCAATGGCTGGCATTATTTCCACTCCGGCAAATTCTTTTGCAATGCGTACACCCAAAAAGAACAATCCGAAACTTTTGACCACGGACCTATGGAAACAGAATAATAAAAACAAAACAAGTTTATAGGTTATTGGTTGGAGTAGTACAAAATTTGGTTCTATTATTGCCAACTTACCATTGGAATTCATTGTGATAAATGCTTTTGAAGAAATTTACAGCTACATTGCCTTTTTGTGCCATTTTTATGTAATATTTGTTACTTTCTGAGGTTTTACGCGAGTAGAAACACAAGGAGAATTTTGTGGAGCTAAAAGAAGAAGAGGAGCGAAAATCAGAACATATGATAGCCGGCAGCAATTCGTAGTGATTGGCCAGTTTCATGATAACACCAAATGTTTATTAGACGTTACCGTAACGTAACCAATACGCGACAAATTACAGTCAGTAACTGGGAAAAAATAAAATATAAAACAAAAGTAAAATAATTAACAGTAAATAAGAAGAATATGATGACTTTTAAATTGTTTGGAAGCTTTAGGAATATTAACATCAAACGGCAAAATATTAACTTAATGTACCATTTTTTGTCATTATATGTGGATGGTTAATATTGTTTCTGTTTTTTTGAAGTAAAGCCTTCTTAAAAGTTATATATAAAATATATAAATTAAGACAGGAACAATCCACATTTGACTTTGAATGTGAACTTTTAAATTGTTGAATAATCCAAATGCGTTTATTTTATTTATTTTTTCTATATTAAATATACTTAAAATGATAGAAAATATGTTTCAGTATTGGCAACGAAGACCGTCTGCTGATATATTTTTTAATAACTAAGTTGTTGTGCTTAATGTACTAAAATAAACTTTTCATTTCAATACGCTGATGCTCTGTATATCGATTCCGAAAAAAGAAGAAACATTTCAATTTCAATAAATAACATAGTAAAAAACCTCCACAATACCCATACGGATCTGTACGTTTAACTAACTTCTCATGGTGTTTATTAACTACACACATCTGGCAACACTAGCCGAGTTTGTTAGTTCCCTCGTCAGCTGTTATTTTAAGGTTAGGTTTAAAAGTTAAATAAATATAAGGAAAAATCCAAAAATGAGCAGTTTACTGCGTTTATTAATTAATCCCTTAAAAAGCGCCCACTGCCAGCCGCAAAATGTGCGACTATTTAGTCAACGGCCTACTTTATTACACAGGCTTAAGGAAACGTTGACATTTACATCCAAACCAAGAAATTGTCCAAAACAATACTGCACCCGGGCCTATGATGTAAATACAAATGTTGCCAAAGATGTTATAGTGTATAAATATGAAAATCCAAAATTTTTTAAAATTATCAATATATTTGGCATTTGCCAATTTACATTCTGGACATATTTATCACATTTTGCTTTCACGTCATTACGAGATGCACCGGTAGAAGTCAAAGAGGGACAGGAGTTGGCTTGGTATGAGCGTATCAATCTGGGAGAGAATAAATATCGCAATGGCATTACCGTTATGTGTTTCTGCATTGGTAAGTAATAGCAATTAGAAGATTCTCACATTTTAAAACTAGTTAATTTGCCTCTCTTCCAGGATATGGTGTCTTATTTGCTGTGTGGATGTTTACACTGCGTTCGGTGAGATTTTTGATTTTGAGAAAAGGTGGGCAAGATGTTACCTTTGTGACATACGGTCCTTTTGGTCACAACCGCATTATGACAGTCCCCCTAAAAAATGTCTCAGCGCAACAACCTCGCGAAATTGCCAAAGTGCATTTGCCCCTGAAAGTACGAAATCGCTCGCTGTTCTACGTTCTTGATATGAGGGGAGAATTTAAGAACGCCCGACTTTACGACTACACGGCCGGTTTGAATCGACGTTTTTAAATACTGAACAAAAACAATTGTATTATATAGAAAACGCAATGTTATTTATTTCTAATACACATTGAAAGTGTTTAATTAAGTCTTATAAAAATATGCTTATCAGTTACAAACTAGGAAAATTTGATACAAATTGGGAATCTTAATAGACAGGTTCTGGTTTCTGTGTCAGCAGTAAACCGAAACGTTTTTTAATGGTTAAACGTTGTCTGGAGTACTTGTCTTCGGGAGAGAAGTGAGCTGGATGGGCGGAGATTGTGGGACGTCCATCTTCAGTGCGTTTCTGTAACAAAAAATATGCTTTTGTTAATTATATTGTATCAAATGATAGTTTAACGAGTTATTTTACCTTCAAGGTGTATACACGTTCACCATTTTCATTTAATGTGTACATCAAATACATTTTTAAGTTTTTTAATAAATTTTTCTGCGGAAAATTAAATTTTGTCTCTGGTCACAAACACGTGTGTTTACTTTTTGAGTACTGATAGAGATGACAACATTTGATTTATGTGTTATCGATAGTATTTTTAGTTAATAATCGATTTGTAGCCAACAAGTTAATTATCGATAATATCATAATACATTTAGTGTCATGTTCTTACGGTCTTAAGAACAACGTAATTGGGCACTAGTTGAAGGCATGGTAGAAGAATATAGGTAGACGCGTCGACACAGCTGCTGGGACAATGAACTGTCAAACCAATTTGGGAATTGAAAATGTTGAATGAAAAATTATTTAAATTTGTAAAAATTGATGAAAAACGCGAATTATAATAGCCTCCGAATGACGTAGTATAAGAAAACATATAAAAATTTACTTATATTTGAAAAAACATTTAAAATTTTTTGACATATCAATGCTCCCAAGCGTTGATGCATCTACCTGTATTTTTCTGCCATGAGTTGAAGGGTTAAATTAATGAGCGAGTCAAAGATTTACAATAAAACAAAAACCACAGGTGATCTAACATAAATTAACCCGATGATGCGTAATGAACATTCATCAATTTTTAATGCTAATAAATTTGTTGTCAATAATTCAACTTGCATAACATATCATATGGATACGTTTCAGTGATTCAGTTATTGAGTATAAATCAATGCATTGCGAAATCCTAGATGTCGGGGCTATACCCTTAGTATCCACTTGCTCTTTTCCAGAACCTGTAAGAACCTACGAGATTTGAAAATGTTTCGATATCATAAAGAAAATATATATTATCATAGTAATTACATGTTTCACATTCTTGCAGCTATTGGCCTGTTCCAAAACCTGGAAGAATCTTTTATTTTTGCTATTTTTTTAGATGTCATAAAGTGAAAATCAGTTATCGTAGTAAAAACATTTACGTTCTTTCAGTTCTGGGACAAACCAAATAATAACAAGGTACGGCAGATCGATAAAATATGAAAAGTGCAAATTTTAAGCGAGTTTCTTGTAAATTCACATCTTATTATAATAAATAATCTGTTGCAGAATCTGAAAAATTTTCTGGTTTAGCATTTTTTTTGATATCATAAAGGGAAAATTGGTTATCCTCATGGTTTTCCTAGTAAAGTTTTTAACATTCTTTCAATTCTGAGTCTTATTTAACACTTTTTCCACAATATTTTATATCTCAAATGTCAATTCCATAGCATATACGTCAAATAATTGTTCTATTTCAGAACTGCAAGAATGTAAAAATCGCTTTGTTTAACTATCTGCAAGAATGTGCTAGTTTTGAGTTTGTTTTCGTTATTATAAAAGGAAAATCGGTTATCGTAGTAAAAAAATTTACTTTCTTGCAGTTCTGGAACAGACCAAAAGTTTACTATGATAATCCATTTTTTAAAAAATATTGCGTTAAGATGGAACATTATCATTATTTATTGCTTAATCCGGATCTATTCAACAAGATTTCATAAAGGTTTTTGCTTTTTCTTTGGTTTTGTATGTATATGTAACCATGGCAGAAGAATACAGGTAGATGCACCAATGTTTGGGAGCATTGATATGTCAAACAAATTTGAATGTTTTTTTCACATATGAGTAGATTTTTATAGGTTTTCTTATACGACGTCATTCGGAGCATGGTAGAAGAATATAGGTAGATGCATCAACGCTTGCGAACATTGATATGTCAATATTTTAAAATTGTTTTGTCAAAAATAAGTACATTTTTATATATTTTCTTATACGATGCAAATCGGAGGTTGTAGCAATATGCATTTCTCAACAATTTTTACAAATTTTAATAATTTTTCATTCAACATTTTCAATTCCAAAATCGGTTTGACAGTTCATTGTCCCAGCAGATGTGTCGAAGCGACTACCTGTATTCTTCTACCACGATTCGGAGGTTATAATAATTCGCATAATTCAACATTTTTTACAAATTTAAATAATTTTTCATTCAACATTTTCAATTCCAAAATTGGTCTACCGTCTACCTATATTCTTCTACCAGGTATGTAACCAAACATTAGCTGAACGTCATTTATATCTTCCTAAGGGTGTATCTATACACACACAGTTGGCTAATGTTCGAACAAAGATTTAATATTTATACACATTTTTTATTTATAATTTTTGGTCTTTTCCATCGTAAAATAAGGAAGGAAGGTTTAAATAAGCATTCCCAGCTCTGCATTTCTGTAATTTACTTTGTCAAATTACATGGCATAGAAAACAGTTCCCCATCTCTGATTTATGTGTATAAGTTATTTGTTTTAACTTCTTGATTATCTTTTTTTAATTATTATTTATTAAGTATTAAGCGTTTCACTAAAATTATTAGAGTAATATTAATTGTTGTTGTTTCTTAAGTTTAGTTATTAAAATTATTAATTATTATTAATGTTGATTGTTGAATGTTGTTGTTATTGTTGTTGTTGCTGCTCAAGTTCCTTTACTTGTTGGTGCTGCTTGTTTTAAGTTTGAGTTTCGATGGAAGACTGTCGAGTTTTAGTTTTGTCTTTCATTTCATGGTGGTGCTTTTTCAAAATGTGTCGACGATGCACTTACAGTCATTTATTGTGGGAAAATGCTAACCAAGCATTTCTCAGCGACGAGTGTTTATTTCGGTAACTTATACAATGGATTTTTAAATACACATAATTTTGAAAAAAAAAAAAAAAAAAAATGTAAACATATGATTGCATGACTTTACCTTTTTAACTCAACGTTAAAAATGCCATTTTAACTTATAACTCATAATTCTTACTATCTATTTGACACCATATGTGTAAACCCCTTATCGTCTAATAGCAGCTTAATCGCGTTGGTATGCCGTGATGTGAGACGAATGGTATAGAATAAGTCAGAATTTTAATGATAATGTATACCCCATGGTAGAAAAATACAGGTAAATGCATCAACGCTTGTGAATATTGACATGTCAATTTTTTTTTATATATTTCTGCAAAATAAGTACATTTGTCTATGTTTTACCACACAACGCCAATCAGAGGTAGTTAAAATATGCATTTTTTAATAATTTTTACAATTTTGAGTAATTTTTCTTTCAAAACTTTCGATTCCAAAATTGTTTTGACAGTTCATTGTCCCAGCAGCTGTGTCGAAGCGTCTACCTATATTCTTCTACCATGGTATACCCCAATTAATAAATGTTGACCTATATAACATATTTGTTTTGCAGCTGAATGGTTAATTTTATAGAAACTTACTAAATAACAAAAACTAAAATTACCGTTAACCTTGTTTTAAATGCCATAAAATTAACTTATATTCTCTTTTTTGCGCAATTTCAATATAAAGTTTTTGTGCTGCCATTTTGATTATTTGAGATGTGTTCACTAAATTCATGCCGATTGGCAGCTCTGTATCAATGACATTACATCTGTTAACTCAACATAGCTGCATTCAATGTTTGTGGTTTGACGGCATACAACAAGAGGTAGCGGACAGTTTTATTTTTTCACGCCAAGTTTTTATAAAAACAAACATATTTTTGTGCTATTAAAAATATATCCGATAAAAAAAAAAACATAATAAAAATAATACTTCACAGCATTGAAAAAAAGTTCAATGAAATTCTGGAAACTTATGATTGAATGAAATAGTTTTGTTTGAAAAGATAAATGTTTATTTATATATGAAAGAAAAATTGTTGGAGTTGCTTCTAAAAAACAACTTAAAGTAATAATAATAAATCGGTAAGTATAGGAAAAGTAGAAAATATGCTTATATATAATAGAGCTAGTTGCGACAGTTTAAAATAATCCGTTTTTGTTTTCATTTTTTTGTGCATACACGCCATGAACGCTTCCATAAGGGTTGCCAATTTGTCGTTTGTTTTGAAAGAATTGTGGGATGCGAATTGTTATTGTGCACTGAAGGTTCTAAAAGGCAAATGTAAAAAAAAACGTTTTAAATTAAAAATAATATATGTTCTGTTTCAAAACCTGCAAGAAACGTAGAACTTTGGTATTTTTCTTTGCACTTTTGCTTTAAAATGTTTCATGTTTTTTTTTTTTATTTTATAATATTTTTATTCAAAAAACAAAAAAAAAATCGGGGAGAACTTAAAAGATTGCAAATAGCAATCGATCAAGACGCACCTTTTTAATAAATCCTAAACTGGAGTCGACATTGCTCCAGTTTTTCATTCATATTCAAACCTTATCGGATCTGGTTTGTTATTTTAATTAATTTTTATTTTTTAAACTTATTTTCCATACTTGTCATACCTATACAGTTCCATGCAATTTTGTAATAATTTGGTTTTAGATATTTGCCTAGACACTTAATCAATTCCAGTTATATTATTAAAATACAATTGACCGATTTATTTAGGTGACGACAAGTTGCACCACAACTGAGCTCAGTAAGATATTTTATTTTAGAAGTGAAAATCTGACTAGTTAAAATGCCAATTAGAAAATTAGGCTAAAAGGCCGATTTTTGATAATCACTTCCATATAATTAATATATAGTTATCAACATTTCTTGGAACATATTAATATGAATATTTTATTTTTAAACTACTATACTCTCAAAATTTAAATATATTTGAAATTATTTTGTTTTATAACAATCCGTTCTTTGCGTGATCTTTGTAAAGTAACGACACCAGCATAAAAGTGTTTTGTTTAATAAAAGAAGTGTATTAATTTGATAACGGGAATCTGGGTACTATACGGTACCACTATCAGTCGAAATCAAGCTTAGAACCCTGACACAACTTTCAACGGTCACATGAATTCTCATTGAAGGAAAAAGCAGACCAAAATTTGATGACTGGAACATTAAATAAAAATATGGAAAGCAAATGTCACCGCCAGGAATGGATTAAATAAGGATATTTAATCGATAATTAATTTAAATTTTCTAAAAAGTGTTGAGTGTATTGAAATCAAGAATTCCTTATTATGGCCACAAATGTTAGCATTTCGGTTTTTATGACATTAACTTGAATATATTAGTAATTCGTATGATATTAGCTAACATTTTTTTTTAAATTTCAAGAAATTTTTCCATTTATATTGGATTTCTTAGCTCAGGGTATTTTCTGTTATTATTTCCCTTGCAAATCCTCAAAAATGGTTGAATATTGTGACGTTGGCAACCCTAAAATGTTCTGAACATCAATTACGGTACCAGTACTTTTTGCAAAATAATTTAAATATTTGTTATATATTTATTAACAGATTTTTTATGTTTAGTTGTTGTTGTATGCTGTAAGCCATGAACTTGGTATGGGTAAAAAATGATTTCCCTTGGTAATGTGTGCGAGACATAACCTCAAACATTACACAAAAAGTCGGCCATCTTTAAAAAACATCATCATACGAGCAGAACAACAACGACGAGACTTTGCATGTCACTTTGTAAGGTCCCTAGTCTGAAAATGCGATAAAAAATCAATATGGCTGCCCCTCTACTCAAATAGTCTCTATGCATTTATTTTGCGTATTATTAGTTAAAAAAAGTTTTCCTAAATGTCATTTGCCTTATTTTGTCTCAAAAAAAAGTTGCAGTTCCACATTTGTGTTCTGTACCTACCATACAAAGTATTACCCATTCATACAGTTAAATGTGTAGTATTTTGTTAACAGCAAATTTAGCTATAACCAGAACTCTCTTCCCATACTTTCGCTCTCTCTCTCTTTCTCCCTTCACTTCTTATTGTATTCTTTTTGATAGGTTTCGGCTATATTCCAATCTGGAAATCCAACACATTTAGGCTCGGATTTAGTTTTACGGTTATCTATATAGGTACACATTATAGGTTTTGTTCAGATTGCCATATATCGATTTATGGATCATTGCTGTGCTACAAAAGCCAATGGCGTGTTACTTTTTATACCTAGGTGGTATGACAAATCAAACTTGTAGGTTATGTTATTTGTTTTCAGGTATGTTTTTAATAAAAAAAACCAACATCTTTTTATAAAAATCATCTTCATGGATGGCGAGGCGCACACACACAAACACATGCATATGTACGTATGTACATTGTGTAACCTTTTGCAAAGAGCCCCTCTTTAGTTGCTTATTGTCGATTTTGTTATGACCCACCATGCTTCGTGGCGTAGTCATGTAGACACACAACTTTTGTGCAGAATGTTATTTGGATTTCTATTGAGACTTCCCCAGGAATTGGACTTTGACCTTTAAAGGAGGATTATAAACATTCTCTATTGTATAAATAAGCTAAAAAATTTCTTTAAAATAGACATATTTCAGAAATTAGTAACAAGTATTTAGGTATATATAAACTATTTTCATTGGTATTTCATTGCTCTATCTCTGTCTTACATACGGACTATAATAGGGGAATAAACCTAACTACATAGCTCTCTTTTTTTTAGCTGGGTAGGAAATAATTTATTTTCTGAATTGCATTTTACTATTTAACAAATGTGAAAATAGGAACATTTTTGTATTCATATTTTTAATAGGTTATGATGCCACTGTTGCGTTGTTGTTAAATCTAAATATCTACTATGAAGTTCTAGTACTTTGGCAATAGAGTTAACATTTCATTTATTACTGAAGCGTTTTATACAGAATGCCCTTAAGGCCGCGGGTACAATTTGCAACATTCATTTCACATTCATTTTTTGCAATCTGTAGTTTATTAAAGTATCTTCCGAAACTATAAAAAGCAAATAAAGAGCACCCTACATCTATATATTGTGTGAGAGCCACACAACACATTCTCTCTCTCTCTCTCTAGCTCTCTTTTGGTGTCGTTCATATAATGCATTAACAGGTTATGAATTTTGTTATACACACTTGAAATGAAAATCTTTGAAAAAATCATTTTCTATTATTCTATTTTGTAAAAATATTAAATTTAACTTATAAAATAATATTAAATATACAATGAATGAATGATGTTGTTCTACACATGACATGGTCTCACCACATCATTTTGAAAATAATGTTAGGGTTGTAGATAGGTAGTTTTTGTTTAACATTCCATGGTTCGTATTGGGAAATTTGTTTTGCCGTGCTGTAGAAAAAGCCGGTAAAATGTTTAGTATCAAATTCTATACAATGTGACTTTGTTTATCAATATTTCACGGACAAATACTAAGGCAGTCGTTGTATGTGAATTTAACATGGGAGACTATTAACGACAAGAGATTTCAGATTACAATTTTGTTAAACCAACATATAATAGGTGTAATGGTACAACATTAATAAAATTGTTTATAATTCGAAAAGCCCGGTATCTATATACTATAAAAAGAAATTATAACATAAAGTAATAATCGCAAACATAACGTGGATCCTACAATAGAGAAAATTATCATTTTACTTTTACCGATAAAATGACCTGATTAGATTTTTTGTAATATAATTCAATAGACATAGGGTAAGTGTGCCTAAGTTCGGCATGTCCCAGTAGTCGGCACTTTTTATTTTTAAGCTCAAATAACTGAAACAAATGTAAGCAGAAATTTTTGTTTGCTTCGAATCATGGTAGAAGAATATATCGACACAGCTGCTAGAACAATGAACTGTCAAACCAATTTTGGAATTGAAAATATTAAATGAAAAGTTATTTAAATTTGTAAAGATTGTTGAAAAACGATTATTACAATAACCTCAGAATGACGTCGTATAAGAAAACATATAAAAATCTACTTATATTTGAAAAGACATTTAAAATTTTTTGACATATCAATGTTTCCAAGCGTTGACGCATCTACCTGAATTTTTCTACCATGCTTCGAATATAATGTCAGCTATCTTTGAGTACAGTTTCGCTAAGAAAAGATGATATATTCTAACAAAAATTAAATTTTTGTGTGTGAAGGTCCTCAGCATAAACGGCACAATCCATATCCTTAAGAAATGTACAATGAAGACGTCGAATCAGTTTAACAAAAATATAATATTTTAATAAACTAATTTTTTTATTAATATTAATTATCCTTAAAAAAATCGGTATGCCGAATGTTGGAACATGTCATACCGACGATTGGCAAGTGGTGCCGACTACTGTCCATATAATTTAGTGTGAAGATTATTTCATGTCAATGTTGACCGCGACTGCGCCTCAAATGGTCCATCCGCTTAGTTTAATTTTGCCATACTCTTTACAACATTTCAACCGGTTTCTCACGATTAAATTCTTCAATGTTATCTTCCAATGTGCCCATTGAAACGGACGTGTCTTGATAGACATGAGCTTCAACATAACCCAACAATAAATAGCAATAGTCTTTAAGTCGATAATGAAATTAAATGTTCAACGTACTCGATTCTCAATAAGTCCATTGTTATGCGTGCTATGCCACCTTAAAATGGAAGAAGTGCGCCATGAGTTTTCTTAACAGAGCATGCATTTTGGTAATAAAATTCAAGGATTTGGCAGTCAGGTACTATAGACTGAAACTGAAGATGTTTGACAGTGACGTAAAATACGAAACGTGTTTCATGTGTTTCATGAAGCTCATAAAACGCGAAATTAACACAAGGTTTGTTATAAAGATGGCAGAGACCGGACCATTTACTTTGCTACATCTCTCACATAGGGTTCCAGATTTGAAAAACAAATTGCTCAAAGAAAGCGAAATAAAGAAAGCGAAAAGCAATCAAACGTTTTTGATAACATACGATCTTTTGTGAAGGTACTACATATCTGTGAACGCCTTCTGGTATCTCAGACACAAACGGTCACAATTTTCCATAATTTTGTCTGTCATAACTTGCGAAACAAGTCAGCTATTCTTTACAACTTGCTATGCGTAAATATTTCTCTCAACCAGAAACCTGATATGAATATGGAATTTATCGGAATTAATGATTTCGCATAAAATTGGATATGAATGTTCGATTTTCTTGTAATTATTATGTTATTTAGTTATTTTAGATTGTAAGAAAAGATTCATTGCCAATGATTTTGTCCGAATGAGAATGTCCGAATTTTATGTTCCTCTGTGATTTTTGAATTGTTTATTGCAAGACATTAAACTTGATTATTCGGAAGACCTCTACAACCATATCTTTCTCCATTTCATATATATATCAGTATGAATTAAAAGTCAGACGTTCCCGTCTATAATATGAATACCATATAGTTCGATGCTCATGTGACATTTTTAATGTTTTTCTCCTGGTTACTTGCAAAATACATGAAATACTTTTTCAAATAAAGTATCGATCAGAAATAAGTTAATTTCAACACGAAAAAACAATAACAAATAAGGTGTACCATTTTATTTTTCAGTGGATATCAAAACGAGTAATCATCAATTGCCAATAAAGTACTGCGAACGCATTTTAAAGTGAAGATGATACATCTTTACGTTATAAGTCTTCACACTGTAGGTTAATGGACACACTTATTCGTCATAACAGAAGATTTTAAATACAACATACGATTGGATACTTTTAACATATTCCTTTTTGTCGTTTTATTAATTTTTATAGAATTTTAAAATGTTAAGGAAATTTGCATTAAATAAAAACAATTTAGTTACCTACGTATGAATAAAAGTCAAATCTTTATTTTCCAGAATAAGTAGGTTATGCATTAACATTGTGGATAATTGATTATACACTCTCTCCCTCTCTCTCTCTCTCTCTTTTTTTCTTTTGAGTATATTATGTTCCCTTGGTTTTAGGGCACATATGTGACTTTAATAAGTAAATTAAAAAAAAATATATTTTTTAAGTATTGTTCGACTTTTTATATATTTTTCCTGTGTTTATGGGTATATGAGAAATGCTTTTATTAACAACTATTTGCTATGGCAGGTTGTGTCATTTGTGTATGTATACGTGACGCGAATCAGGTGCGACGGGTTTTTATTTTCTCTTTGGCCTTTTTATCTTATATTTTGCTTTTTTATAATGTTATATATCTCAGGGAATCGGGTAAAAATTTTTCTTTAAAAATGACTTAACAAAATCAAGCAGGGTCAGAGCACACGGCGGTGGTCCAATGTATTGTGACGTCATGTCTCTACAAAAATATACCCAACAATTAGCCAAATATTCATACATAATTTTGATTTAGTTGATATTTATATTTTTTAAAGCATTTATTAACATTAAATGTATATAAAAATAATAATTTGTAAATTTTTTAACTTTTCTCTTTAAACTTTCAGTTTACCTCATTTATTCTGTACTGCCCCCGTATGTTGTTTGCTGTGGATAGCTTTGTAGTTTTGTTTGTTGTACCAATGACTATTGGTATAAAACATGTTTTTCTTTATTTATGCAACTATGTCCGGGTAAAAATCCCATGTATGTAGGATAAAAATAAAGGTACCTCTCTATAGATATTTATATTTTTTTTAAGTCTGATTTATTGAAAATCTCTTAAATTAAACCTCAAAGCAAATAGAAATCGCCATTATTTTTTTTATTATAACATTCAAAATCTTTAAAAATAAATTGCCCTATAGAATATGTTTCTAAATTCTCGGTTCATATTCCTCCCTTTCTTTGTTCATTTTTATATAAGTAAGCGGGGCGGGCCGCACAGAGCTAACAAACAAAACAATAATGAGCACAACTGACAACAAGAAAAAAAAAACGTTGCCCCAACCAATACAGAAAACTAAGAGAGAAAGAGAGAGTGAATTTTATTTTCAGAGAGTATCTGCTCTTACTCTCATTTTTATAAACATGTAAAATAAATTACCTATCTTCGTACCTACATTGATTTTATAAAATTTTATGATAGAATTTGGAAAAAAAGTTAATAATAAATGTAACTATCCATTCAGTAGATACTATAGATGGTTATTTAGAATTCTTTCTCTATTGTAAGCAGAATATGTAGCTGTTATGTGTGTTTTTGTTTACCTATAATGAGGGCCTTATTTTTTACGTAAAATATTAAGATTTTATTTAAAAAAGTCCAATTCCTAGGAACTATTACTTGTGAAAAAATTTCTGTAGATGACCTGAGGTATTTAAGCCACTATACTTGCCTTTAACTGAACATTCATATCCATTCACCACCACACACATACACACTACAATGATGAGTGATTTCATTAGTATTTGGTCGTTGCATAGCAAATGTTTCCTAAACTGATTTTTTAGCTGAATGCTGAGGAAAATAATAGTTTTTTTGATGAACTATTAAACGTTTCCGAAAGACTTAGGGGGTATTCTAGTTTACCATATAAGTAAAGCGGAAACATTTGGTTCCGGGCTATATCTAACTAGCTGGATATTGTTGGTTTTCGTTAGAACTCCCTAGAGATTGAGTTACCAATGCCAGTTACCTTCTTTTCACATTTTAAAGTGGATTTACATTATCTCAATTTTTCTCCCCGTCATATAGGTAGTTAGGTATACATGCTGGAAACATTTCAGCCAGTTGTCTTCTCATATCGCAAACCTCGTTTTGTGTATGTATAATACAAAATTTCGCTTATGATGCCGCCATGCAATGTTGTCTGTTAGTTCACATCTGGTTTCTCTGTAATGTTTTTTATGTATAGATGCATTCTATTTGTGTAAAATTTCAGTCTTCAACCCATATCTGGATATGTTGAACAAGTATATTTCGTTTAACTAAAAAGGGGTCTTTGAGGTTAGGGGGCAATATATTAAAACCTTTCGAATTTGTTGTTTTATTTCGACTTTCTCTGTGTTACGCAACAGTATTTAGTTAGGTAGGTGTATCTTTTGTCGTGCCCCCCATTGTCTCAATGCCTCAAATTTGCACACACAAAATTGTTCTGTGTTGTCTCTAGCAAATGAATATGCTATAGATGGCAGCATTTTGTTTGGCTGCTAAGTGTGTTGTCTGTTACATTTGAACGCTTCAGAATAAGCTCTACTTTGCTCAGGACCTGGACTCATATTTCATGTCCACAATAAAATAGGGTACTTGATATGAAAAATCGGTAATCTCCCCTTACCTAGCCCAACATTTTATTTTCTTTAGGACAGGAAGCGGGCCATTTTTTTTTGAAAAATATCTAGATATTTTAAAAAACAATCGGCTCCCCCCTTGGAACCATTGGTCCCATTTATCGACTTTCCTTTACCCGAGAGTACAGCCTAACCTGAAACGAACCTATAGCCGAGCATGTTCAACACGAACATCGAAAATCATGCAAGCACAATGTCTCACTTGTTTCTTTATAGCTCGCTGCTGTTCAGTTCTCCGCTTCACGTGGTGACGTACGGTTGCGTTATTTTTGTTAACATTTGCGACAGTGTTTCTGTAAGCCTGAGGCTTTACATAAAGCTAAATATTTTGCAATATACTTTAACATTTTAGAACAAACAATGTAAGTTAAATAAAAATCTATTATTTTTCTTATTTTTACCTATTTTTATAGTTATCTATGTCCCCGCTTTGGTATCTTTTCTTGCTCTCCCTTGTACTGCCACTCTTTCTCTCGCTCTCTTGCTTGCTCTTATTGTGTTGTTATTAGTTGCGCCTTGTTTGTTGTTTATCTCGTTATATAGAAAACGTACCGTACATTGACATATCATTTATAGAACACAACAATTGCCTTGATGGGAACGCCATTTTGTTTTCAAGAACGAAATGTAAATTATTTAAGTACACGCAAATAATTTTAAATTAGGTTGAATTAAGCAGTAATACCTTCTTTGATATCTGGCCATGGGTCTCCAGGGTTACCACGGACTTTTTATTATTTAGATTTTCCAAAATTCTTAACGTATTCAAAATCTCCGCACAAATTCAGAATCCTACATGCAGTTTTTGGTGTAGTTAGCCACTTCGCAATCAAAATTTTTGCCAAACATTTTGCTTGTATTTTCTTTACAATTTTTCTTTTTTTGTTTTTCGTAATTACCATTTGTAATTTTTGTTTCCATGTATCATAGTGATGTACACTCTAAAGGTAACCGAATAATTTGTCCTTTCATAACAAAACATATGATGACGATCTAAAGAACAACCATGAATTGTTGGTTATGCTAAGGGTATCTCAAGTCTAGCTTAGTTGATTGCGTTGATTGTGTATTATTAATTAATAGTTCATATTAAATTGTTTTAAATTGTACCTAGATACAGAAAATTAGTTCAAAACTTCAGTTCGTCTGGCTTTATTAAGTCATGCATATCATTTAATTTTTTTTGAAAGTTTTGCCTTCAGTCTTTGTAGAAGTTGTAGGTACATATTTTTATGTAACTACAGTGTATTATCGTTTTTTATTTAGAACTAATGAATGACAGCTAAAATTAAAATTCCGTGGTTGTTGTTTGTTATAATCGGTTCAATTGGCTTTGAGCATTTGTCTCTGACGTGAACAGCTGTTTATTTGTTTGGGGTGCGTTCAGTGAATGTTATCTGGGCACAGGTTACGTTCAGTGTTTTTGTTTAATTTGATAGGGGAAAACTAAAATGTACTTTATTGATCGTAAAACTTTATTAGCATTATTGTTAAAACTAAAAAAACGGAAAAATTATAATATGTTAACTGGGGAAGAGATTAGCGCTTGACAGGAACTTATTTATAAAAAAAGTCAAACAATAAATTCCGTAAATATTATTGTTTTTTCTATATGTTAATTTATGATTTATGGTTCTTATATTTGGTGTCAATGCTTGTTTGCCAAAATGTGGAATTAATTAAATATTTTTTTACCTGTTGGCTTTTACTTAAACAATGAAAAGCTGTTATTATTTTGGCGCATGTTCAGTGAACCAAGCTAATGTGTCGAAGGAGTATGTTTATGTCGTTTATAAGAAAAATATATGAAACTATATGGATTATTTTAGGGCCCTAGTTTCTATAATCTATGTCGAGCCTTTAAGTAATGGATGTGCATGGATTGGTATCACATTCAATGTCAAGATGCCGTTGGCTTTCGCTTCCTTGCTTCTACCGGCTTGACATGAGACCAAAGTTCTGTGGGAATTTTAATTTTGTGTTTGTTTTTGATATTATTTTTAATTAATTTATTAGTTTTTATTTATATTATATTTATTTTATTAATAACAGATATTTTATATTATTCAATCATATCTTTATATTTGTTTTTAGAATCCTTTATCAATTCAAATGAATGGAAATTAAGTTTTCTTAACAAAGCACCAAACACAATATGATGGAAGTAAAACAGAGTGCGTCCGTTGACTTAAATGACCTCTTGGCCCCTGTAAAAAGCACTGATGTTACAGATGGTGTCAGCGATGTAGTGATGAGAGACTTAGCAGAAGAAGTTAAACCTGCCCAACTGAATTGTGATGACATTATAAAAACAGATAATGATTGTGGTGAGTTCAAAAAATAAAAAAAACAATTAAATGTTCAAAATTTATTAAATTCCTTTCAATTATAGAAAAATCAAACAATGGTATAGTTACAAATGGTGGCGATGAAACTATATCTTCCTTAATTGATTTGGAATCGACGGCAGCTGCACCCGTCACGTCAGATCTTGAAGATGCTTTATTAGCCGAGGATGATGCTTTGCCCAAATTGACAGATGTCAAAGTAAATAGCATTGCATCCTCAGTGTCGGTGGCAGTGGATGATATTTTAGCCGATAAAGTTGAGACATCCAACTCTACCACCAGTTCAACTAATGTCCGTGACCCTGGTGATGACCTAGATACCCTACTGTCTAAAATTAATGACATCGTAGAGGATTGTTTAGACGAAGAAAGTGCTGTGACTGAAGAAAAAGAAAATGAAGTAGAAGCTGTCAGTAATGCTGCTGATGAATCAAAAGTCGAAACTATGGAAGATAGTGTAATTTTATTAGATGATACAGCAGCAAATGAAAGTTGTTTGGAAGTTGATAAAGAGGTATCGACAGCACTGGAAACTCAGGAAGAGTCAAAAGATGAGGTGGAAACCATTACACGGGAAGATAACTCCTGTGCAGAAATTAAAGAAACGGAAGAAGTCGCAACTGAAAAGAAAGATGAAACCGTCAGTGTCATTCCTCCAAATACCGAAGGAATGACTGAAGAAACCAGCAAAGACGAAGGTAATGTTGAAAGCATTGCCGAAAACAAAACTGGTGATGCCAAAACCAATGATGCAGAGGATGTTTCACCAACTTATGAAGCTGACACACCGACCACTACAAAAATCACAGAAGAAAAAATCGCTGAAGACGTTCCTCTCGAGAACGCTGATAAATTATTGGAAGAAGAAAATACTAACGATCTGGACAAGATGTTAGTGGATGATGAAGAGACAGTAGATTCTATCAAAGAAAATGAGTTGTTGGATGCTAAGAACGATGAAGATACGGTATTTACAGAAAGCGATAAAATCGATGACTTGATTCTATCCGAAGATGAAAAGGATCTCAATACTGAAAAATCAAAAGAAACAGACGATAATGAAACAAAGACTTTGGATGAAGAACAAAAGAAACCCGATGAGGTCGACAATACAATAGAAGAGAACCATTCAGAGAACAAAACTAAACCTCAAGATTCTAATGATATTAAGGAAGACCAGGAATCAAATGAAAGTAATACCGTAACACCTGCAGCATTGGAAGAAAAGGAAAGTCCAAAGAAGGTGGAAGAAACAACAGAAAATGATGATTCAGACGATGAGATTGTCTTTTATGTAGACAAACCACCAGAAAAGCAGGATGAGGCGAAATTGTCAGAAGTGGAGGATACTGAGACAAACTCCGAAAAATCTTCGGTTCCATTAACTTCAGAAGAAAAACAACCAAAAGAAAACAAAGAAAAATCTGAGGAAGAAAATGACATTGTCATCTTGGACGATGATGATGAAATGCAAATTGACAAAATAGCAAAGGAGACAAGTCCGAAAAAGAAAGAAAGCGAAGAAAAAAGTATGGACACAGAAAAAACTAGTGAAATACCCACAAAGACAAATGAGGAAAGCGAAAAAGAGAACAAGGAAGCCGAAAGAAAACATTCCACCATTGACATGGATAATTCAGATAATGCTCGCGATGACTTTGTTGTTGGCACAGATAAAGCGACGAAAAAACCTGATGATGCCGAGGAGAATAGTAATTGTAGCAGTAGTAGCAATTTATTGCTGGAAGCAAAACAAAGTGACAATACCGGTGATGAACCAACACCTGAGGAAAATGAAAACGACGAAGAAGATGATGATGGTGATGTGGAGTTAATTGAAACTGAATCTAAGGAAGCTGAGATTTCTTCAGAAAAGGGCGATGAATCCTCCGAAGCTGTTCCACCTGCCAAACGTCCAAGACTGAGTGAGGACAGTGAAATATCCTCCTCCAAAACAGATGAAGATAGCAAAAGTAGAAGAACATCAGAATGTGTGGAAAAGAAAACGGAGGCTGAAAGTGCCTCCACTAGCATTTTATCAACATCGCTTAAACGAACCCACGATGTCATTGAATTAGAGATGGACAATGAAAAGTCCAATGATTCTAAGATATCCGTTGCAGAAAACTCCACGAAAAAACCAAGAACAGAGGAAACTGAGGATAAGAAAATTGTGGAGGATGTAAAGAAGATGGATGAAAAGGTCATAAAAACTGATGAAAGTATCGATGAGAAGAAAGTGGATGTAAAGAAGGATGTTTTAAAGAGTGAACCCTCTGAAGAGCCCATACGCTTGTATCCTGCACCAAATCTAAAGAATCTGGGAGAAGGCGATGCAATTAGTTTGGGCTTTTTGAAAAAATTCCGCAAGTCCTTTGACAAAATGACAAAACAAGATCTCGAAGAGTTGGTCTTACAGAAGGTGGTTGAAGCCATTATACATCGCAGTGAATTTGCGGAAATGCGGGAGCTAATTGAGAAACAGGAAAAACTGATAACATCACATCGAGCCAAAATATCTGAATTATCCAAACAGTTCCGGGATCTTGAAATGGTGCACAATCGTGTGGTCAAAGATATTGAACAACGAAATGCTCAGTTCATAATGCCAGTCAAAATTACACGAGCTGTTGGTCTCCAAGTGTACATACCCAATAAGAAGACTCTCATGGAAGCAAATGCTGCCGCTTCTGCTGCTGCGAGTGGCAGTAGTTCAAGTAATATACCGGCAGTTTCCCCACAACGTGCATCGACTGCACCATCGCACAGTAACCTAACATCACCTCAAAGACAATTCAATCCTCCCCAAACCAATGTCGAATCGGCTTTACGTACTGCATCCAATGCTAACGTCAATTCAACGTCAACGAATACGGCACCAAGACGTGGATGCGCTCAAAAAGTCACACCCATTCGACCAATGCCCAGCAGTAATTCAACGTCATCGGTTAACGCTTCGCCAACCTCCAATACGGCAACACAAGTTTATCGCAATAATCATACCCAGAACCAATTGCAACAACCAAGAATATTGAATAAAAATGCCACGCCATCTCCAGTGGGTGCTACGCAGACGTCAAATATGAATGCAGCAGCCATTCAAAGGCAGAGATATATACAGCAGTCTAAGGCATCGCCCAATCAGGATGTTTCGGCTCAGCGAATACCACAGCAGCAGCAGCAGAGCCCTAGACCGCCAGTCGGCAATTTGCATAATAAGTGAGTATAAAATGTAGATTAAAATTCCAATATGTAGATTTTGTTAGACATAGATTTCGTCTCTGAAAGAGAGCCAAGGCAACTCACTATATGCCTTCGGGACGGAGGTCATGTTCATAATCTTAGTAGACTCTTCAGTAGACTGGTTGTTGTTAGACATCAGAAGGAATCTTATCGATTGTCGGACATTATGGAGGAATTTCGCTTCGTTTTCACACATAAACTTTGTCCAGTATTTGAGGATTCCTCTCGACCCAGTGGTTTAAAGGGGAACTCCGCGCCATATACATTATTCGGCAACTAGATTTGAGGACGCTCATCGACTAAACTGCCGGCGGTGCATGTGTCTCTACGGTGCTATAAAGTACCGCTGAGTTCTGAAGGTTTTCAGGGAGGAAATCTCCTCCGATCTAATGAAACGATATTTATTTTAGGGTCAATATTTCCATTAGACCGATGTGCTCACATTCGCATCATTGCTATTCTAAAGCCATTGCGTCAGTGCTCATGTAATCCTTGTTTATCTCTACTCTAACGTGACTTTGTTTCTAACTCCAAGATCAAAAAGAAAATGACCTATATTGGTTGGGTCCATAGCGATACAGGAGTTAGGAGAGTAGGTTTGGCTGAGCAGTGAAAAAGGTGGGCCGCTCATTTGGAATAGGAGTTCTGCGCACTACTGTCATTTCCCAATACGAATTGAGGCGGCAGCAACATCCAGATCTCAGTTGTGCCAAAACTATTCTGGTTTGTCGAGGCAGATCTCGTCGTCTAGCTGCAATGGGAGGCGGATGATCTCCGACTATGGTATTCACCCCATATTCTGTTATTACTTTTGTGAGCCCATCAGAGTGAATACTATTCAGACGTTCTTGGTAGGTCTATTGATCTAGGCGCTCTCTCTTATACATCTTTACCGCACTCTCTAGATCATAAAGGTCATTCCTTACATTCCTGGGCTGAGGTTGCCTATCCACCATTTTATAATGCTGTCGCACCGGTAAGGTTTTCGCCTCCTCATGTAAATGGTCAACGGGTTTCATAGGAAGGAACTTTACTGCGGTTGTTAGTTCGCCGTCCTGGCAGGACTGAATGTGTTTCTATTAAATAGCACTTACATTGGCAGAGTACGCCGCATAGTTTAACCCATCGCGTTGTGAGAGGTCAATAAGGTCTCTTTATCAGCTCCTCAAGTACTGCCGGTACTCTCCGACCAGGGACCGCCATGAACGTGTTCGTTCATGTGGTCCTTGTATATTTTCTTGGTGTCATGTAGACGTTAATTTGTCATCCCAGGGGTAAACGAACAATCGGACATCTAATTCGAGCCTTTACTCCCTTTTTCTGAAGATCACTGAAGAGATTTCCGCTAGTATGCCTTAATGTCATGTTCTCCATCAACTACCTACTTTGAAAATCAAAAATTTCCCAAACAATAAATTTACTTATATTTTTTATACTTTCCTTTTTCAGCCAACGTGTTGTGCAACAGCAGAAAATGCCCAACAATACAACCGCTGTTCCACGTCGTCCCGATCCCACACCATCTGCTGGGACCAACAATTCATCTTCTTTGGATAATTACATGAACACATTGACACAGCTTACTGGCGGTAATACTGCTGTCAGCATAACACCAGCAAAACCGAAAGAGAAAGCCGTCATTGATCTAACCGATGAAGATGAAATACCACCACCCGCACCACATCCGATTAGTCCACAGCAAACAAATTCTGCGTCAATTGCGCAAGCACAACGGCGTAGTTTACCTGCACAGAGTAGTAACGCAAATGTGTCACAACAGTATGGTCGGACAGCACCGCCGTTGGCACGTATACCACCCTCTCAGGTGGCGAACAGCAATAAAAATCGTATGCAAGGTAAGTTAATGCCAGCTATTTGGAATGCAAGTGATTTGAAACTTACATTTGTGTTCTCTTTTCGCAGGTCTTAAAAATAACTCATTTGCATCAACAATAAGTACACCTCCTGGAACAAGTATTACACGCATTAATGTGGCAGCAAATACTCAGGTTACACAACGTGTTAAATACAGTCATCCGGCTCCGTTGCCTGCCACGCCGCCACAAGCATTTAATCCTAACTGGAAGTTACCGCCTCCAAGACCTACTATACGTATAAGTAACCTGGACAATGGCATTGTCATCTCTTGGACAATGGAGGAATCTATGGATCGCCATGCCGAATGTGTCAGCTATCAAATTTATGCCTATCAAGAAACATCAGGTCCTCCCATGGCCGACTCATGGCGTCATGTGGGCGATGTTAAGGCCATGTTACTGCCCATGGCCGTAACCCTTACACAATTTCAAGAGGGTCAACGCTATTTCTTTGCCGTGAGAGCTGTTGATTGCCATCAACGTTATGGTCCCTTCAGCTTACCAAAAACCTGGAGTTAAATTGTTAGCTCCGCTTCCGTCACTCTCATCTCCTTTTCATGCACGCTTTGAGAGTGCCTAAAACCAACCCCCACAACTAAAAAAAAACAAAATAAGGAAAATTTGAAAATAATTTGATTATTGAATTTACAAACATTTTTTATCCATTTGCTACTGGATATGTAATTAGATATTTATTTTATTTTCTCTTAGGTTTAAATTCATTTTACATTAATCATAAGACTCTCCTTCCTTGTAGAGTAACATCCATAGATAGCTGCTCACATTCACACAAATTCAAAGACACTCATCAACTAACTCCATGGTGGTTATTGCAAATGAAGTAATGTAATTTATTTGACTTTAAATTGCTTTGTTTTATTATTTATTATTTTAAAGTTGAATCTTCAAAAAATGGTAAACATTTGCTTACCATAATCCAACCACCGCCCTTGTTTTTTCTTTTAATGAATACGTGCACACACACACATACGTCAGCAGTAAGGTGTTTTAAGTTTTATCGATTATTAGCTTACCTTTATAATTTAATTGTAGTTTTTATGTTTATATACATATTTGCATTTTTTTTTAAATCGATAACCTATTAATCACATTTAAAACTTTAAACAATAACTATTTCAGCTGTTTGAACAGCCAGAAATGAGCAACATCGCAGACATTATTTAGACATATAGCTTTAAATGGCTATATTTTAATTTATATTACATGAATAATATAGAATATAAAATGCAAAAGAAACTGAAATCAATCTGCTATAAATACATAGGGAGAGATATTGAAAAAACAAAATAATAATAAATTCTTAATACAATATTGAAAATGTTTAATTCGTATTTATTTCGTGGTTACAAATTAAGGAGGCAACGGCAGGTGTACATTTATTCTTTTATAGTTAATAGCCAAATTAAAAGGCGGGTACGCCATGAGGATGACAAAACAAAGATATTGTGGAGGAGAACGAGAATGCGAACCTTTCCAAACACACTGAACGCTCTTTTTCCTACAAATGGAAACTTTATTTTACAGAGTATAAGGAGAAAAAGCAATATAACTGGCAGAACGGAGAATTAAGGTGTATTATATCCTGTCAAAACTCTGCGCTTAGGACCGTTATATTGTGCCTCTTCATGACACCTGTTGATAACCTATATAGGGGACGTATGTTTTTCCTGTGATGAGGCACAATAAAATGCTGTCGGTGCAACCCTTGCTTGGATGGTATGCACATAGCCATCCTTATTATTACCAGGTCGATAGGCTAACTACCCCCAGGCATGTAAAGAAAGACCATCATGATCTGGAGAGAAATCTATAGGAGGCCTCTTGCAGAATTGAATTGTATTCTCCCTGTCAAGGTTATGGAAACACGCTTGGGCACGGTGGGGTGATATCTTCGAAACTGTTTAACTTCTATCTTTCTGACATTCCACGCCCTCCTGATGGCTTGGAGATAATTACGACAATTACGGACACGCATGTCGTCCGGACGCATCATAGATAACATCTGCTATCGGTTAAACTATTACTTAGTTGATCAAAACCTATTTTCGAGGAATATGAAATATCCGACACGAAATCCACGTCCACACGGACTGTTTTACTTCCGACCACCAATAACCCCAAGGTCTTTGGGGTCGCATTTGATAGCGTTCTTAAGTCGTCCGCACATACCACAGCTTTGAGTTTTAAGATTAGCAGCAGGAACAAGGTTTTCAAGTCTCTCTTGTGAATCTTGTTGACCCCTTTCACCTGGCGATAGGCTGGTTTGTGGTAAAATATGGGGCTCCGGTGTGGTCCACCAACGAAAATGCTGCCTAAATGAAAAAATATTCAGACTTGCCAGAACGTCGCCCTTAGAATCGCATTAGTGTACCATCTCATACCACTTGTCGACCATCTATATGAGGGGGCCATGGATCTTACCGGTGCGACAGCATAATAAAATGCTTGCTTGGGTATTACAAACAATGCCATTCTTATCACCATCTGGTGGATAGGCAACCTTCTCCCGGCAGATAAGGAAATAACTTCATGATCTAGGAAGAGAGGTACAGAGGCATAAGAGAGAGACTCTAGTTCAACAGGCCTATTAAGCAAGACGTAATGGTCATCACTCTGACGCGGTCATAGAAGTCATGGAGCAATATAGAGTAAAACCATCCTCGAAGATCATCTCCCTCTCATCGAAGCTGGAGAACAACTGAGATCCAGTAGTGCAACCGCCTCAATTCGTTTTGGGCTTGAATTGACAGCAGAGGGCAGAACACCTGCCCACTTGGCATGCTGCACCTCTTTTACTTTTCAGCCAACTAACAAACTATACACGTTGCATCCTTTTCGAAATAGAGGCAAAAAACAGAACAAGTGGAGGAAATTCCGAACGAACAAAGCAGTAGGACGTGCTACAATTGCAACAGAACCAATCGCAATGATGAAACAGTCGAATGTGGCATGATTTGAGTATCTTACAAAAGCATTCATCGTTTCCGAAGCCTGGAAATAGGTCGGTCACCTAAGGTATACCAGGATACCAGAAAGTAGCGAAAATTCTATAAGCATTAATGCTATTAATGTAGTATCCATAGTCGAAAAATACAGGTAGTCGCATCGACACAGCTGCTGGGACAATGAACTGTCAAACTAATTTTGGAATTGAAAATTTTGAATGAAAAATGATTCAAATATGTAAAAATTGTTAAAAATACGTAAAACACCACAAAAAGGTAAGGTAGAGCTACCAGCTAAGTTCAATTTGTTTCTAACTGTGCCCGACCTCTGCCAATTCTGTGTATGTACTCATTGTTTTGAAAAAATTAAAACAAAATATTTTCAAAATCAATGACTGGAAGAAAAATAAATAGCGGGGCGTGCATTAGAGATATTAAAAAGTTTTGCATTGGAATTGAAGGATTGAGCAGTTTAAGTCATATTTTGAAAAGAAAACCCAGATATAACTTTATTTCATTTTATAAATAAGAAACAATATCAAATAAATGAAAAAACTTGTTGCATAAAGTTTTGAATAATTCAGACAGAAAGCGGGCATAGCACAAGGGCTGTATTTCTGTAGTTTTATGAAGGCGTTCTACCTCCTTATTATACCATGGTTATAACAACCTCCGATTCTTAAAAAAAAAACATGTTAAAAACTTTGAAATATCAATCGGCCCTATTATGGTTGTCGTCGGCGTCGCAAAATGAATAATGATATTAGGGTTGTCGTTTTTTGTCGATAGCGACAAATGATTGCTATTATAATTGTCGATACAACAGTCGACGTGAAGTCGATTTTTAAGAAAATCTGTCGCCGTAAAAAAATGTGACGACATTGAAAATAACAACAGCAAAACAATTCGAAATGTATTTGGCAAAATGGTTTACCAAAGGTACTTTTCCAGCTAATTTTAAATCAGATTGGAATCCATTGCTACAAAATTAAATGTAAACAGGTCACCGATTGGAGACCGGCAAAAAGTATGTTAAAATTAAAATTATTTTTGTACGTTTTTATTAGTTAGTTTTTTAAAGTTCTTCTAGGTTTGGGAAGATTTAAAATTTAAAACTAAAAAACAATTAGGCTCAATAAGGGTGAAATCAGCAGCACTGGAGGTGGTATTTTTAAGCAAATGACTTTGTCGCTTTGGGATGAGTCCTTCGCGAACGTAATGCAGTTTCAAAAGTAACTGAATCCACCAGGTCGTGCACTTGGAGTAAAAAATACGGAAGACATAATTTTAACAGACGATATAGATCTGGAAAATGAACCAGTGGACAATGCTGATGACGAGTCTGATGTAACAACTATCCAAGCTTCTCGATCGCCCAGAAAGAAGCAATGATAAAGCGTCATCAAGGAAAGAAAAAAACTATTGAATTCTTGAAAGAGCAGTATAAACTTTTGGAACCCACAATCAAGATTCAGGCAATGCAAATATGTTTGTTTGCTGCACTCGCCACTGCACTACTAATACATTCTCCACTTCATCCTAACTTGAACTTAAGATATGTAACGCATTTATAATATTCATTTTTTCACTATATTTTTATTTTTCCGAAAGAGACGAAATTAGAATTCAAAATACAAACAAATTTTTATCTTATTTTGTCAATTACAAGGGAGTGTTGCCAACGCTCTTTTAATTATTGCCAACTTTTATTTTAAACTGTCGATGTCGCTTCAATGCCTTACCGTAATTTTTGAATCGGAGCGACGGTAAGAGCGACTTGCACATAAAGTCGACGACGATTATAGAAACTACAACCGTAATTGGGCCGAATGTTCCCGTTAATGCATCTACATGTATTCTTCTACCATGGTAGTATCTGAATGCATGTTACAGAGTCGATGTGCTGCAGTTGTCTTGCTGAGGCTTTTTGATATATTATAAATCACTTCATACATTCTAAATCGATTGGATTTGGATACTACTTAAATATATTAAATTTTAAACAACACATAAGTGCCAAAAGTTTTTAAATTGCAAAATCAATATCCGTAATGTTGTGGCGCCCAGCACAAGTGAAAATGTCCTTTTTAATTTGCAAAAACATGGCTCTAAGCCAAATTCCAATTCAGGTTAAGTAAAATAAAGAAATGAACAAAAATTGGCATCCGGTCAATAATCAATGGCAATGTCAACAAACCCACAAACATTTTGTTGAGAGAAATTGCCTTTATAGAGTAGAGTATTAAAGAATGTTTGAAGAAATTGGCCAGTCAAGCTGTCCTCAAAGTTCCAGTGGGTGTTTTATGGCACCAAGGATTCTAGTGAAATATGTTTATTTCCGAAGGATAAGACCAGTTTATTAGTACTGGTTAAAAATTCTGGGTAGCGGCTAAATGTATGCTATAAAAACTCTAAACAGAAATGTTGACAAAGCCACTATCAAAAAATTCGAAAAATCGCTTTTAAAGCGAAATATCACTTTCTACATGCAAACAGGTTGCCAAAAATCATTGCTAAATTTCCGTGTAAAATCAAGTATGGTTTGAAATACCTAGTTAGAGATTAGGTTTTACTTCTCCTCAGACGGCATATAGATTGTTAAATACATGTGCGGATGATTGTACTATCACAGCATCGGAGGACAGACATACGTGTCTGAATGTGAAGGTAGAGATATTTTCGACGGTTTTTTTACCCAAAATCCAAATTTTGTCCGCATACACCAAGGGTTTGTTCTTCGGATTTATTAATTTCATAGCAAATGCCAAGGGTGCAGGAAACTGCAATCTTTTAAAGTTGAGTGGCATTTCTGTTGCAATTAGAGAATTCGTAATAATCATTTCATAAATGTGTGTAGTTTTTATACCCTCCACCATACTATGGAGGGTATATTAATTTTGTCATTCCGTTTGTAACTCCTCGAAATACTCATGTCAGACCCAACAAAGTATATATATTCTTGATCAGCGTAAAATTCTAGGACGATTTAGCAATGTCTGTCTGTTGTAATCACGCTATCTTTCGAACAAATTGAGATGGAAGGCTAAAATTTTGCGCACATGTATATTTTGCCAGTAGGTTAAGTTCGTAAATGGGCCATGTAGGTCCAAGTTATCATATAGCCCCCATATAACGGTACCTCCCGATATTCGGTATTTTGATGATTTTAGCGACATTATTCACCGGAATTGTTTCAAATTTGGCCTAAGACAGAAAATTATCTGTGCAGGTCCAAGTTATCATATAGCCCCCATATAACGGTATCCCCCGATATTCGGTATTTTGATGATTTTAGCGACATTGTTTACCGGAATCGTTTCAAATTTGGTATTTGAAGTTCGTAATGGATACTACATACTAAGTCAAAAAATGA